TTTACAGGTGAAAGAGCATAAAGATGTGTCTCTTTGTATAAGATGCACCCCACTCTGAGTGACAGTGTCCTGAAATGTTTAGCGTATTCACTACTTGATTTTTAGTTTTGCGCAGGAAAGAAGCATAAAGGTGTTTCAGTTCTGTTCATTTTTGATGTAAGATTGTATTTAGGGATAAAGAAGAAAGGTATTACTCTTGAGCAAGATAGAGCAAGGTAAATATTTGTAGAACTTTGTATAATTTCCTTTATCCTGACCTTCTTAGGGTTTTAGGTCTTGTTGACTGTCAGACTTGATTGAGATCGAGTAGGGCCTAATTAGCATTTCAGGATTTCTCTGGGATCATTTTTGATTGCTCAGAACCAATACATCTCAAAATGGTGTATTTACTTTAGCAGAAAAATCAAAAGGTGGATTTAGCAACCTTTACTTTTTCAGTTCCAGGTGCACTCTTACCTTACCAAGCAAAACCTGGGTAGCAGTTTCTGCAACTACCTGAAGGTACCAGCTTTAGGGAAGGCATCAAAGGCCCATTCTCCAACTGGTCTTCCATCTCATTTTCGTATTCACTTGAAGCCGTTGATGACCATACACCCCATGACACACTTCAAGGTTTGTCTGTGGCTTAAACATCCATTCTTTTGCATCTGCAACGCTTTCATCCTGGCAGTAACTTTAGAACAAGAACAATCTCATAAATAGCTCAGAATTTGTGGTTTCTCAACACCTTATCTTACAAATATTGTATCTATAGAAGTGTTATCTTCACCTAGTCAAAAATGTCTATATATAGTTGTGTCCTCCTAATAAGAACATAATACAGTGCAAGACCTGTATTCTCCAAATAATTATTTGAATTTAATTGCTATGTTTAGTATAGTTGAAATAATGAATGTTGTCTGACCTGTGAAGAGCAAGATGTGAAGATCAGACTCGTTTATTCTCCGTTACACCGGCTGGCGATGTCCTCCCTAGCTAAGCTGCTGGCTGCCCCCTTCTCCTCCTTTGCACCCTGTGGTTGCCCTTCTGGTCAGCCGCTCATTGCAGTCAACAGGCTTGGCTGGGAACACGCTAAATATTGACCAGTGCCCTTGTTTGCAGGAGTTGTTCTGCATTTCTCATGCCAGGTCTCTTCTGCTTGAATGGCCTTGTGACAGGCCTGTAAAGCTGAAGAGGTTTTATAGCTTAGCTTGATCCAAGGTAAAAAGAAACAAAAGAGGGGGACTTCCACATGGATGTGCAGGGTGCAGTTGGTGTCAGAGTGCTGTAAATGTCGGAGGGAGAACAGCAAGCAAAATTTCTCCTGTTCAACATGAATTTAAAATTACAGTTTTGAGAACTTTGGTTGATGATGATCTCTAAAAAGACTCATGTGGAGCTGAAGCTGGAAAGGAACCGTAGCCTAGGAATGGACACAACCACTAAGAGTGGGACCAGGCTGCCTGAGCAGCTCGAGTGTTCCTTTGATGTCCTGTGCCCACGTCGCAGTCCTTACCCTCGCCTGGCCCGACTGTCCATGGGTTCTCTAACATGTATTCTCTTTATGAACCCTACACAATTCAGGTAGTTCTCCACTGAAATTAATAGCAACGGGAGGTCTGAAGAAAACATTGGACCAATGCTTGTTGAAGATGGTCACCTGAATAATATGGATGAAGAAGAAGCGGAGGCATTCAATGCAGGTTTTGCCTCCGGGCTGCCTGGTCCTCTGACCAGGTCTGAGGACCACGCATGTGGGAATGGTGACTTTCTGTTTGTGGACACTGAAGTTGTAAGGGACCAGCTGTATCAGCTGAATGCTCGTGAGTCCGTGGGGCCTGATGGGATTCATCCTGGAGCACTGAAGGAGCTGGTGGATGTTATGGCTGGACCCCTCTCAACCGTCTGCCAAAGGTCTTGGGAGTCTGGGGAGGTCCCTGCTGACTGGAAGCTAGCCAGTGTTACTCCACTCTGCAGAAAGGGTGTGAGGGAAGACCCAGGGAGCTACAGACCTGGTAACCTCTGTCCCTGGGAAAATTAGGGAGAAGATTATACTGGGTACTGTCAAAAGGCATTTAAAGAGTAATGCAGTCATCAGGCACGGTCAGCGTGGGTTCACCAAAGGAAAGTTCTGTTTAACTGATTCCATATCCTTCTGTGACTGGGTCACCCGCCCAGTGGGTGACAGGAAGGCGGTGGATGTAGTTTTGCTGGTTCTTAGTGAAGGTTTTGGTACCATCCCTCCCAGCATCCTTCTGGACAAGCTGTCCAGCTGTGGGGTGAGCGTGCTCACGGTGCGCTGTGTGAAGAACTGGCTGAAGGACAGGGCTCAAAGGGTTGTAGTGGATGGGGCTACATCTGGCTGGCGACTGGTCACCAGCGTTGTTCTGCGAGGGCCAGTCCTGTTCAATACGTTGATCAGCGATCTGGATGCAGGAGTTGAAAGCACTGTTAGCAAGTTTGCTGATGATGCCAAACTGGGAGGTGTTGTGGACTCTTGTGAGGGACAGGAGGCCTTCTGGTCACTGGTCAGACAGTTGGACGAAACGATCACTGGAGGTCCTTTCCAGCTGAAATAGTCTATTCTATTCACCTGGTAAAAGCAGCACAAATTTGGAAGTAGTAGTGGTGCAGTAATTACAAGACTGTTGTCGTGGTGGTGATGATGCATATTGGGAAGGCAGGTACCAGCAAGGCCTCAGCTTGGACACCTGAACAGCGACGCCTGGCAGCACTCTGACAATCAGTTAGAGAAGAAATATGGAATGAAGTTTCCAACGAAAACCATCCTTCCTATCTTGTCTCCATCCTTTTGAACTGTATCAAACTTTCACATATAAATCTGATTACACTGATGATCAAGGATGGGCTCGTCAGTGCGCTGGTCCACTTGCTCCAAGGGACGCTGTCTCCCAGGAAAGCATCCCTTCCATGTGATCTGCACAGGGTGGTCTGCTGCCCGGGCGTGCGCTCCGTGTTCGATCACAATTAATCTCTTGGAGCAAGCAGGAGACACGTTTCAGAGGTTATTTTTGCCACCGAGCGTCAGGACCTCCATACCTTTCTCGTTTTGTGCAAGACTGGGCTGAACGTGCCTCTCTAGTCGAGTTCATGGGAGCTGGCTGCGGGCTGGGCAAGCTTCCTTTGTGCTATTTTCTTTCTCATCTCTTTTCCTATTCAAATCTGCACATGCCATTGTGGGAGTTTTGTGCTTTTTCTGCGTGTGGGTTTTATTGCTAATCACAACAGAGATCACCGAAGCAGTGAGAGAAATGTAAGTTAGATACTGCAGTCAATCAAGTGCTTTGAATTCTCAGGCTCGGTTCTGTTCAGCCTCTCTCGTTTTATGAATTGTCACCTCCAGACTAGCTAAATTAGATTTAAAAGAGAAAAAGAATCAGAGTTGTTGTTCACGTTTACTGATCTAATAATAAGTCTCTTAAATTCTTCCATCTGTTTTGAGACTCTGCATCTCTGATGCTTCTCTTTGATAAATTCACAGTTTTAATTAAGCTCTATAATAAAAAAAGCCTATAGATACGGACTAGGGCAAATGGAAAACCATGCTGTGTTTAAAAAAAATGATTGTTTTTCAAGTTAGGCTTATTTAACTTATAAACTCTGTGGCTAATAGTTTTCTGAAGGCAAGCTTCTTTCTCAATAATTTGGATTTTTTTTTTTTAACAATTCAGTAACCCAGAATAACCCATTTGTGTTTTGTTTTTTCTCTTAGCAATGGAGATAAATTGCTTGACAACCCAAAGACAAAGAACACAGTTTGTGCGGTTTCTTGACGTTTGCCCAGATTTTGCCTTTTATTCGCAGCGTACTGCGTCTCCTTTCATTTTGTGTTCACATTTTCGACATAGGTGGAGTAACATTTCCCTTCTGCAGGACGGATCCTGGCGGGAGGAGCAAGGGTGCAGGACTCTGGGTGTTTTTCCGATAGCTTCACTTGCTACAAAGATAACCGGCGCGCGGAGTGGCTGGGAAGAGGCAGTGGTGGGACTGCAAGGGCTGGATGCACGGGGGAGAAAGAAAAATTGCTTTTCCCCAAATCCCACCTTGTCCTGCCAAAGAAACAGATCTCTTTAGTCAGGCTGGGGGTGAGGCTGCTCACTGTGGGGCAGCACGTGTGTGGCAGAGAACATTGCCCTGCTGGCGCTGGAGCTGGGAGTGCATGGTTTGAAGGGCTGAAACGCCTCGCTGATAAATATGAAGGGCAAACCAGGGAGCTTACTTTGCGTATTCCTTGTTTCCACGCTGGATTCCCATCTGGGTAGCATTCACGTGCAGGAAAAACGGTCGCGGTGGGAGGAGCGGGGAGAGGAGGGTGCTCAGAATGGGGCCTCTTCCGCGGAAGTCGCTGGCTGGCTGGCTGTGGGCTGTTCACCTTTTCCTTTAGCCCCGTTACAACAGTGCAGGAAAACCAAATTTTCTTTAAAAAAAAGCGGTGGTTTTTGGTGTGGCTTTCTTTTTTCCCTGGATTTTAACTTGTATTTTCAATGTCCTCCCTCAGCGTTGCTTTTCAAAAAAAGCATTTTCAATGCCAGGAGCATCCACAAGCAGACTGCTGTCTGTAGTAACTGCTGCACATTGCCTGGTTGCCCACTGAGAGTAAAACTCCTGGGAGGACGCAGGAGCAAAGGACTTGTTTGTGTTGAACAGGTTATACAGAAAACTGGGGGTCTGGGGTAGAGGAGCACCTGCTGA